TGCTGTGATATCATAGCGCACAGCAACCTCAAACTCTTGGGCTCGAGTGATCCTCTTGCCTCAGCCTCCTAAGTAGCTGAGACTACAGGGGCCAGCAACAAGGCCCAACTATTTTTAGTAGTGATGGAGTATCACTTGTGCTCAAGCTGAACCCCTGAGCTCAAGGGATCCTCCCACCTTGGCCTCCCAGAGTGCTAGGATTACAAGCGTGAGCCACTACACCCGGAAATTCTTGCACATTTTAACGTTGCCTGTGAGCCACTTCTGTGGGGATGTCAGACATGTGATGAGACACTCCTGTCTGACATTAAGTGTTCAGTATGTAATTGTTGAATGAATGAAAAAGTACGATAAATCTTTAAAATTTATCATAGTATGGGCAAGAAGGATTTTGTACCCTTCATCCCACCCCTAGTTCATCTCCATGCCCAGAGGATTGTGACTCTTCCAATTAAGTGTATTTTTCTGATTTGTAACTTCCATTTCACAATTTCCCTCCTACACCTCCCTGACAGACTGAGTGCCTCCCACGTATTCAGAAATACTTAGAGGGATGGGGCAATCTAATTTTGAAAGCTGTAGATTTCTTCTTTCTATAGATCCTGATTAATAACCCTTTCTTCTGGTTACCATGATACTCCAAACCATAATGGTAACAGAAGCTGAGATTTTTATTAAAAGTTTATTATTTTTCAGACACTTTTTTCTAACTGGCAAATAATTTATATATATTAAATCGTGAGCTCCTCTTGAGAACCCAGGCACTCTTTTATTTATCCCTTCTTAAATATGAAGAAATGGAAACAGAGAGAGATGAAGGAACTTGCCCAAGACTGCTCACCTACTAACTACAGCACTGGGATCTGATCCAGGCACTATGCCTCTGGAGCCCTGGTTACTAATCACCATCCTCTCCTTAGCAAGCAAAAATTTCATCTGTGGGCTGGGTACAGTGGCTCATGCCTGTAATCCTTGTACTCTGGGAGGCCAAGGCAGGAGGATCCCTTGAGCTCAGGAGTTGGACACCAACTTGAGCAAGAGTGAGACCCCTGTTTCTTCTAAAAATAGAAGAACTAGCCAGGTTTTGTGTTGGGTGTGCGTAGTCCCAGTTACTTGGGAGGCTTAGGCAGGAGGATCGCCTGAAGCCTTGGAGTTTGATATTGCTGTGAGCTATGATGCCATAGCACTCAAGCCTGGGTAACAGAGCCAGACTTGTTTATCTCAAAAAAAAAAAAATATTTTTCATGCCCGTAATCCTAGCACTTTGGGAGACTGAGGAAGGTGGATTACTTGATTTCAGGAGTTTGAGAACTGCCTGAGCAAGAGCAAGACCCCATCTCTAAAAATAGCCGAGTGTTGTGGCAGGGGCCTGTAGTCCTAGCTACTTGGGAGACTGAGGCAAGAGGATCACTTAAGCCCAAGAGTCTGAGGTCGCTGTGAGCTGTAATGCCATGGAGCTGTACAGAGGGCAACAAAGTGAGATTCACTGTCAAAAAAAATTTCTTTTTTTCAGCTGTGGGAAGTAGATAAGAATATGTGCGTGGTTCATCACAAATCCCGTATCATTTCTGAGATACCTCAAAATAACAGAATAGTTACTTTTATCATTTTTATAATATAAGGTGTCCATAAAGTTCATATGCCATTTAAAAAAATTGCACACAAAGTATATAGACACCCTTAACTTTGTATAAGAAGCAGTTAGAATTTCACTTTAGTCCTTTGAACCAAATACAATAAAAAATGAACTTAGAGGTACAGTGGCTAGGATGCCAGCCAGTTTCAAACCCCACCCAGGCCTGCTAAATAGCAATGACAACTACAACACAAAATAGCCGGGCGTTGTGGCAGGCGCCTGTAGTCCCAGCTACTTGGGAGACTGAGGCAAGAGAATTGCTTAAGCCCAAGAGTTTGAGGTTGCTGTGAGCTATGACACTACAGCACTCTACCAAGGGCGACATAGTGAGACTCTGTCTCAAAAAAATAAATAAATAGAGAAAATAAGGCATGTGCCTTTGCTAGTGCCTTGTAATGGCAGCATGACAAGAAAAAGAGAAAATAAGAATCCTTATCTTTAAGATTTACAGCTTGGTGAAATAAGACAAACATATGACTGGGTAGAGGGTGTGGTGTGACAGGTGCTTCATCATTTTCTCTGTGTTATTTGTGAATAGGTAACCTAATATTTTAATTTTGTAAAAGCACAATATATATTTATTTATATAAAATATTTGGTAACCTAATATTTTGTAAAAAGCACTATATATAATCTTCTTTCTAGTGTGAATATGGTCATGAATTTATTGATCAGGTCATGTCAGTATTACATGTAATATATAACATTATTTACGACAAGTTTTTTTTGCTATTTTTTTTAATTAAATCATAACTGTGTATAACAATGCAATCATAGGGTACAGTCTGGTGCTTTGATACACAATTTGAGATATTTTCATCAAACTGGTTAACATAGCCTTCATGGCATTTTCTTAGTTGTTATGTCAAAACATCTATATTCTACTTTTAGAAAGATTCACTGGTACCCTTGTAAGATAAACTACAGAGGTGATCCCTCCAATCACCCTCCCTCCACCCATCCACCCCCCTCCCCATAGTCTTAGGCTATAATTAGGTTATAGCTTTTATATGAAAGCTATAAGTAAAAGTATCCAATGATGGCAAGTTTTAAACATTCAACTTAACAATATTTAAACATGATTGATGGCAAGTGACTACAGATGGTTTGTGTTCTGTGTTAAGTAATTCTGCTGCACTTTCTGCCTCAATGTATTCCTTTCCTCTCTTTTTTTCTACACGTCTCAGAGTTGTCACGATGAGGAGGATGATGACGGTGAAGAGGAGGTGAAGAGTTTTGAAGTAAGATGGATCTTTCTAGATGTGTCTCTTTTCCACCGTGAAACATTGTTCCATAGCTTGTAACTGACATTTCCGTTTCTCGCTTCATGGCTTACGGCAGCTTCTTGTGTCAAGGGACTGCATGTCAGAGCTGGATGGACGAACCTGAGTCCTAACATTTGCTGAAGTTAAGACCAGAAAACAGAGAGAAGTTAGATCATGAAAGACAGCCCATATGTTCAGAATGAGTGTTCCTCAGAACTCCGGAGATGAGCCCACGGTAGATGGCTCTCATCCCAGCGATGTTATGGTCTGGAATTTCCAACAGACATGTAAAAAAGTACTGATTGAAGGGCAACCTAACATTGAGCATTTACTCAAACCCTGGGTTTGATGTGCTTTCTCAGCTGAAGTCTTAACGATTCGGCCTCTTGTGACGTCTGCCCAAGGAGGTCACTCATTCCATGTACATATGTAAATGGTGGCACATGACGCAGTTTGCTTGCATGAGTTAGGAGTGCCTATGTCCCCAGGGCTAGATTGTATTTTATGATTATTTTCTCAGAAATTCTCAGCTTTTAAATATCCGGTATAATTTGAAATGCTGCTTCGTGTTAAATTAGCTGGAAGGAAAGTTACTATTCTTCTCCCTCTCTGCTTGTCCTGCACTGTTGCTTTGTACAGGAGAAACTAGGTATTGCAAACTAGACTTTTCCTCATGTATCAGCTCCTTTTTTTTTTTTCTTTCTTTCTTTCTTTTTCTTTTTTTCTTTTAGAATCTTAGAAAGAAATTCAGTGTAAGGAAATAGAGATTAGATTCTTTTTTTTTTCCTATTAAGTAACATGTCTGGCCTTCGAGCTAGAAGTCTGGAAACCCATCAATAGCCAGCAGTGAGAATTTAAATGAACTGAAGTGGACCCCACAAACACATAGCCCAGGAGGGAGCTCAGTGCAGTGCCCGTCCAGGGACAGTTTTACATGAGCATCTCTGTAACATTGAAGTCAATGTGCGAGAAATATAAAAACAATTTAATTTGAGGATAGCCCATTACTGTTGCTGGCTGAGAAAAAGACCATGAGATTAATTTTTCTATGGCACTATAATCTTTTCTAATGTATGTGTGTTCTAGTCTCCAATCCATCCTTATTGATAAGCCACTGAGGTAAATTAGAATGACCTGTGAGAGGCAGATGATAGTGTTTTGCTGGAGTGCACACCATTTATGGTCTACCAGTTGTCTTCCGAGCAGTTGTTTATTGCTATTTTGCTTCTTGTCCTCATCCTTCCTTAAGGTCACAGGATCCCAACGCAGCAAGGTAAAACTATATATGTGTGTGTATTTGTCTGGGTCTGAGTTTCAGTTTCTTGTGATTTCCCTTTGTTAGACCCAACATCTTGGATTCTTTTGTGATAAAAGGCCTTGCAGATCTTTCTACAAGTTTGTTACCTCTAATGCAATTGGGATCTCTAAGGGATCTCATTACAATCCCTTCCTGAACAGGGGTTTATTCTTCTTAAAATCGAAATGACTCAGAATTTACAATTTTATCCTCCGTGTTGACTTTGAGCTGCAAACTATGCTGGGAAGAGTCCAGCCCTTCAGGTGATAAACTTTTAGCGTGGGACTTTTCATTTTCAGCACAGCCTCCCAGCCTTACCCTTCCTGATTTTTTTTATACCCATCTAATTACTTGAAAACAATCTTGATAAATGGCACTGGTGGTAAAACTGGAAAGCAGGCTGCTTTTTCTACCATGCTATTGATACCTTCAATTACGACCTGGGGATTATGTCCCATTATTTCAATATAGATCTCATCATTTCACTAAAAGGAAGACTAGCCAAATACTTGGAAAACTTGCTAAGAGAAAACATTTTGATCCAAAATGATAAAACATTTTACTCTGAAATGGACCCTGCTAAGCTTATAATTTAATATGTTCACGTGGCCACTCATTAGGAAGATTGATCACAAACATTCCTGAAAGAAAATATCAATAATCTTATTTTTAAAAAGAAAGTCTTTTCAGTGTGTAAGTGTAAATTCTTCCTTTCTGCCTTCTTTAAAAATAAGAAGAAGAGTATTTGCTAATAAAATGAATTTTTAGACTGTCCTAAAAAACCTATTTGGAAGAAAAATTTGAAATATTTTTAATTTGCTAAGAACTTGGGAGGAATATACTGTTTTATATCATGATCTTTGTAAAACTTTATTTTTTTTCAGATTAATATAAGGGTATGTATGAGTGGGTTACCATTTCGTTTGTTAGGAATCCCAGGTGTAGTTGAGTCTTTCACCCAGGAGGTGTGCCATATATCCCTACATTGTGGCCGTTAGGTGGGAGATTACTGACCCCCTCCCCTTTCCACCTGCCCCCTTCTTGATCTAATTGTGTTTTCCCTCTTGTGTGGGCCCATACTTGTTCATCTACCAGTTTCATATTAGTACTGAGTACGTGGGATTCTGGCTTTTCCATTCTTGAGATACTTTATTAAGGAGAATGTTCTTCAACTCCCTCCAGGTTAACACAAAAGACGTAAAGTGTCCGTATTTTTTATAGTTGAGTAGCATTCCAGAGTAGACACATACCACAAAATATACCGTGGTTTATTAATCCATTTATGGGCTGAGGCCCACTTGGGTCATTTTCACATCTTTGTGATTGTGAATTGAGCTGCTATAAACATTTCAGTGCAAATTTTCTTATGGTGTGTTGTAACTGGTACAACTGAGACAGAAAGTTGGACCCCACCTCTGATGCAATAATCAATAGGAATTTATTATAAATTTAATACACCTGCAGGGGGCTGTTGCTGTGGAAATCAAGCAGTGTCGAATGGCACATCAGATGGGTTTATATACTATAATTTCTGCTGAATTAGCAAGCAAGCTTGAACACAAGCCAAGATATTGCAATTACCCAGCTCAGCATAGCTCAGGGGTCACAGGGTAGGGTACATGCATTAGCTCATAAATCACATTAGGGGTTACACAATTCAGGGTGGAGGTACATGGGTTGAGGAAGCTTCCAAAGAACTTGGGACTTTTGATGCTTTTTCTGACATCAACCCCTCCCTGCATACTTTCCTAATTTCAGACTTCTTCTCGGAATTCTACCTCCCCACCCTTTTGGGGGCTGGGACTTAGAAGAAGTTTCCTTTATAAGGGTAGGGGGCTTGTTCCCCACTGGTCTTAGCAGGGAATCAAGGGGGTCTGGTCATCACAGGTGAAATGCTGTTTTTTCTTCTGGGTGGATACCTAGTAATAGGATGACAGGATCAAATGGAAGGTCCACTTTTAGCCTTTTAAATATTCTCCATACTTATTTCCAAAGAGACTATAATAGTTTGCAGTCCCACCAGTAGTGTACAAGTGTTGCTCTTCTCTGCACACCCTTGCCAGCATCTGCAGCTTTGGGACTTAAATTTGAATAACTTAAAATTGAATAACTCCATAACTCCACTATGATGAAGAAGGCAGCTCAAATCATATAATGGAAATAACACTTGGTAATAATATATCAAAGGCTTCAGTAACATAATAGGTAGAACAGGTACAGTAATAATTTGTAGATTTTGATTTTTTATCACTATTTATTGTAGATAAATCTTTTCTGTAAATTGTTGAGGGATGGAAGCCTGAAGGAACCTCCTAAATCAACCGTAGATTTGATTTCCAACAGACCGAAGCGAGTGCCCCAGGAATATATTGATAGCTGTGTGTTGATACTGCTGGATGTATTGCTTGTCAAGAAAACCATTTTGCTTTGGAAGAGGAATGCATTTTCAGGGAGCTACAACAGCGAATGCCATTTGGTAAATAGGATTAAATTTAGTGACATTAGAAAGGTGTTCCTTTTTCAGGAAAGAATTCTAAAGAGGACTAACAGTAGAATCTTAGTATTTAGAGTCCAGGTTTCAGGTCAGGCTGAGAACAAGAAATCAAGAGAGAATGGAGCCTGACCTGAGAGAAAAGGGCTACCTTGGGACTAAGAATGACAGGCGTGTTCACATGATGGTGACACTTGGAGATTAATCCCAAACTAGGGGATATAGACTTGCAAGATGACAGTCCCAGCAAAAGACAGTTTTTTTTTTTATTAAGTCATTCATATATTTATCATAGGTACATTTATGCCATTGTGGGATTCAACGTGTCGATTATTTGTACAAATTGGAGTGCTTACATCCTACTAAACACTATAGCCTTCACCTCATTTACTCAATTACAAGAGTAAGACTGGTTTTTTAAAATTGGGAATTTCCACCAGAGTCAGGGAATTTCACTTCATAATCAGGTATTTTGCCAGTCTTCATAGGATTTGGGAGTATAACTCATTATTTACCTTTAATTTATGTAACATGCTATGCTTCACAAAGTACATGCTTTGTGAGTGATTGATATGAAATCAGCCTTGCAAAGTTGAGGAAACAGCTGTGGATAGTCAATCACCTGTGCAGATACACTTCTCTGAGGTTGGTAATGTGCTACAAACGTAACTACTGAAAAACTGAACCAGATAATCAGATCATTCCTTCCTTCATAATCTTAATAATCAGGCTGTTTTACAACTTAAACAGTTCTTACAACAATTTATGTCAAATAAATTTGGAAATAACATAAAGTGCATGATCATTGAGTTTTATCCCTAGAACTGGTTGGTTATTAATGTTTGTTGTAGTTTCTATTTAAAATCTTTATCTGTGGGGCAGTGCCTGTGGTTCAAAGGAGTAGAGTGCTGGCCCCATATGCCGGAGGTGGCAGGTTCAAACCCAACCACAGCCAAAAAAAAAAAAAAAAAAAAACTTTTTTTATCTGTGAAGTATTCAACTAAGACTTTGAGAAGATCAAAGAGGAGATATAAAGAAAAATACTAGCCATGTATGGTGGGTTATTCCTGTAATCCCAGCCCTTTGGGAGGCTGAGGCAGGAGGATCTCTTGAGTCTAGCCTGGGAATCATAGTAAGACCCCATATCTAATTTTTTTTTTTTTAAATAAAGGTAGGACATATTCTTTGTATAGCTTAGTTTGAGTATAATATAGTATAGCTTGAGTTTGAGGCTTCTTTGGACACAGAAACAGATGTCTGCAAGAGACTGAATTTTAGAATGAATGAATTTAAATATGCGTATTTAAAAGTCAGTATAAAGAGATATTTAGAATTGTGGCAGAAGAAATAAGTGAGCTAACCCAAGGAATGGATATAGATTTAACAAAAAAAAGTGTAGATAGAAACCAGTATAACACCTACTTTTTAATGGTGGGTGAAAGAATTATTATCAGCGCTTTTTGCAGTCTGGTGAGCATTTGCTATTATTTGAAAATTTTTTCATTCATTTCAAAGAATAAATAATTCATTGTTTATAGAGATGTTATGTCATTTAAGAAGTCAAGTGATTATTTTGAGGCAGCTTATTTGCTTCTATTGTGGTGTCACACACATGTCATCCCAGCTACTCAGGAGATTGAGGCAGGAGGATAAATTGAGCCCAAGAGTTTGAGGTTACAGTGAGCTATGATTACACCACTGTACTCCAGCCTGGGCAATAGAGCAAGACCCCTACCCTTAAAAACAAAAAATGGAATGTGCTATTATAAGAACATTTTCCATGAGGAATACAGTAAAACTTAAAAAAACACGGAAAACAGAAAATATGGAGTGAAAAGTTAAGCACTTCCCAGCTTTTTTTTTTCTTTTATCACCTGTATATTTCATTGATATTGATCCTATTAAAACTTGCCTCATACAACTCAATCATTTAATTCCCTGTTTCATCTCTACTATATGTAAATATGTTTTTCTTACACCTACATGTTTAATAACTTTATTACATATTTAGCTAACTTTTTTAGATTTGGGGCTATTTCAATATGAAAATCGTAAAAAGAAGACAGTTAAATCTTATAAAGAGGCCAACATTAATTGAAAGGGAAGACGTGTTTTATTCCTCTAAAGTTCATTATTGTGGAGGCATGCTTTGTTTAGGTTTTAAATTCTTCACAAGCCAAAGCAAATAAAAAAAATAAATAATAATGCTTCAAGTCAAATTACTATTTTCTGAGCATGATGGGTTTTTCTCTCCCAGCTCAACAAAGAGCTTTGGTACCAGAGTAGACCACATATTTGAGCTATATTTTGCAGAATACTTGGAAACATTCTTTAGATTATTCTTTCTTCTCTAAAAGCCAAAAGTATGACATTGAATGATATTTTAGCGAAAGCATTTCTTTGGAACATTGAAGTACTATAACATATGATTATTATTTACTGAAAAACATTTTTAATGCCAGGAGAGCCAAGGAAGGGAGCATTA